AAAATTTCAGGTACAAAGAGCTGGTACTTGGAGCGCAGGAGATAAATGTCACGCTGCAGAATACCCCAGGGAAAAGCCGTGCTCAGCGCTCTCCTCTGCGTGTCTGTTCCTAGCCCAAACACGGTTAAGCCTGTGCTGTTGCGAGTCGACACGACGGTCACGCCAGCCTCGTTTTTTGCTCTTCCTACGTCGGAGTTTCGCGCCGCCTCAAGTGTCCTGGCATTTACAGCGGGCATCGGCACACCTTTGTCTGTTGCTGTCTGCAGCAGGAGGGTTTTTTCTGGGTGCCTGTCGCAACGTTTATGGTAAGACCCATCCCTGCCTGGCAGGCAGACAGACAGACAGACACCGGCCCCCGGGGCCCCCGGGGCCCCCGGCGGCCATTTTCCCGCTCGCCGCGCCCCCTCACGGCTGCGCTCAGCCCTGCACCCCGCCGCCCGCCGGTGGCTGCTGGTAAGGAGCAGGCGCTCTTTTTTTTTTGCAGCAGCTAAGGCAAAATAGCCCCAATTTAGAGCTCGGGGAGCAAACTGAGGGGACTTCTCTGACCCGGGCCCCTTAAGGCAGCTGCAGAATCAGCACAGCAGCTCTTTGCCTCTTCTCTCCCTGCAGCGAAGGCTTTGCAGTGCTGCCCTTCACCTCCTCACCCGGGGGCTGCAGGATCAGGCCATGGCTGCGACCAGCAGCGCACATCGCGCAGGCACATCAGTATGCTGGATTTCCAGGGAGTGTTTTGGCATGTCATGAAGGTAACGACCGCTATCTTGGCCCCACTTGTGTCCATCACATATCACATCACAGAAGGAGGTGGCTTCCAGTGGAAGATGGCTTGTGCTACCAATCCCTTTCCCCTTCAGAGAGGGAACAAAACTGCAAAACTCTGCACACCACGTTCTGCCCGATATCTGGAAATGCTTAAGACTAGATGTTGCCTGCGTATATGTATGCAGCATGCAAAACTGGCGCCTTAGCAGATAGCTATGCAGGCCGGGGAAAACAGAAGGATCCCAAGGAAGATCAAAAGCGTCACACAGATCACACACCATCTTTTGCTAGAAAAGCCTTTGCTTTTCTAGCCTCTAAACAATGTTGCTTACTGGCTCTAACAAATTAAAGCCAAACAGATATTTGAAGTCTGGTTTGCAGGCAGAATGGCTGAAACAAAAAAATCTATTCAGAGGATTGCAAAGCTTTTCAGAGTAGTACTGGCATCAAACATGGCTCTGGGAAGCCTGTCCCACTGCCAGCCCAGCTGACCATGTCCCACTGACTGCTCACTGTGCATCTACAATGACATTTCAGTTCAAGAGCACTTCTGAAATGCATCTCCCATCTGTCCCTGCTTACTGCGTGTGGCTCTGTGACATGAGCCAGTCTTGAAGTGCATTGAGTGGATTCCTTTCAGATGAAGTTAAACAGGAAAATGAACTGTAGGAATAGCCCTGTTGCACTCCGCTGGCTAACAGGCCTTCAGCCCACATGCCCGGGCTGGAGCTGGTGGATGTAAAACCCCCGATGGGTCAGGCCTTCAGCATCGCCTGCTTCGTGCTACGGACTGGCTCGCCTTCAGCCACACCGCTGACCAGCCTAGCCCCGATGGCCACAGCAATCCCCCTCTGCGGCGACGACGAATCAAGACGCCTGCGTCTGTACAGGCGTACAAGCAATCCAGGGCAGCAAGGCAGGAAGCACGGCAGGGACCAATTTTACTGCTGGGCAGTCAAAGCTTCGCCCGCTTCCATCCTTTCCAACCAAGAAACAGGCTGTGGAGGTGGCAGCTGATGCAATGCTCCCTGAGGCAGTTCTTACTCTCCTGAGGAAGAGGGAATTAACACTCATTAACGCTCACAGGGCTGAGGGAGGGGATCCCAGCCCTTCCCCTGGGCTGGCAGGAGGCACAGTCTCATGTTGAGGCAAATTCTTCAGGCAGAGCAGAGGGAGGTGATGCCGCTCAGCAAGCCAGCTGGGACTGCACGAACAAGGACAGCACTGGGCTGGTAAAGGGTGTGAGCATTTCAAAACACTCTGTAATGTTTCTAATAACCCAAAGCACTTAAAAATACATTTCAGTACTTAGTGTCGGATTAATTTATTAGCAGAAAACATGTTTTGCTGTAAGGCAGACAACTAACAGAGAATTTATGTAATTCTCAGTCAAGAGGCCAAATTATTACTGATAGTTAATACCTGCAATTAAAATGACTGCTTTGAAATGAATGGAAGAGACCCAAAATGCATATGGAAATTTCATACAATATATAAAATATATAACTTTTACATTTCTTGATTTTAAATACATTGTTCTTTTTTATGTAAGAAACAAACATTCTAGAGTTCATTTGCAAAATAAGCACTGCAGATGTCCAGTCTTCCATGGCTCTCCCCAGTAAGCAGATGACATACGCAGCAGCGCTTGCAGAGTCCATGGGTTGAGAGAGAAACCCCATTCACATTGTTTCTCTTGTCCAGGATAAAGACCCTACTTTGTAATCCCAGCAAGAATTAAAAGGAGTTGAGTTACACTGATAATCAGAGCGTACAGAAACTTGTGAGCCTCTGGAGGAATCTGTAGAAATACGGCAAGACAGAAATAAAGCCAGACTTCCGAGCCTTCAGCCCTACAAGCAATTCCAAGTTTCATGGAAAGTTTTGTACAAAAATCCTCTTTTTAAAAACTGATAAAAAGTAAAGGTAAAATCTCAACTCCTCATGAAGTACAGGTTACCAGCAGCATTCGCTGCAGCGTGGTTATTATTTAATGTGTGCGATATTTGACTTGTATCTTGATTTACCTCTCCATGTACCCAGGCCACCTATGATGTTTCAGAGACTTCTCAATGTCAGTTGTTCCTATAAAGACACAGACTTCTTTACCGATTTTGATACCAGCTGACTGATCGGCATAAAACCTGAAGGGGCCTTCAATTCATCCCCCTTTTTTTCCCTGCTTCTACCTCAAGTAGAAGAGCATTGCCAATGCATTATGGAAACAAGGTTTCAGTGGGTGGGGTGGACTTTTTACTGTAATCTGGACAGTGTTCTTCTGATCTGTAGAAAAAGCCAGAAGTAATTATTCTAACAGAAGAAGTGGGAGGGGGGAAATATGCCAAAGTAAAATATTTATGATTTAAAAACAGATTATAATCTTGTTTATGAAACATCAACATTTGACTTTAACCTTATATGGAAGTTACAAACAATGAAAGTATATAATCCTTGATGAGAGGAAAAAACTGTCTTTCTGAGGTTTGCACCGCATCCAGACCAGTAACTTAATCCCCAGGCCCTGGACTCTGAATCTTGACGGGTGAGGCATAGAACTCTTGCAGCTGGATCTAGTGGTCTTAAATTCAGGACCCGGGTTCCTCCGCACTAGGTTACAAGACCTGGTGAAGAGGCAGTTCGGCTGTCTCCTCCTGAGCTATTGTGAAAAAGCACTCTTTTTGGGTGTGATGCAAAAATAGATTTCACCGTCCTTCTCTTAGTTGACAAACAGTGTCAGATTCTTCTCCTTCATTCACTACCTGGTCCTGGGAAATGAAGCTGTATGCACCCTGCTTAGCAAGACAGCAGTGGTGCAGGAGGTCAGCCAGCTGCCTGATGAGACTGCTGCTGCTAACGCTGCATGCACGGCACTCAACCAGCAGCCCTAGAGTAGCCTGCAGTCTAACCAGGCTCAGAGAAACAGCAGCTTCTCCAGCTCCAGTGAGAGTGAACTCTCACGGTGGTAAGAGGAGATGAGCATTCCCCAGTTCTGAAGCCCAGGTACTCAAGAATGAAGTTATGCTGTGAGTCATGGGGAATCACAGCTCCTTGCTGCAGCTCCAAGCATCAAGAACTGTACCTTAAGTTACAGGACCAGTAGCCAAACTGGGTGAGAACAGACTCCATATAATTAATGCCACGTTAAGGATGCTTTGCACACTATCCAGTAACAGCTTTGCCATCTAGTTCCAAAATTTTCCAAAGCCAAAAAGAAACAAACAGAACCTACAGCAGCATCTTAAGACATGATTCCCCTTCCAGGACTTTAAGGAGGGCAGCAAAGACAAGATGCACGGAAGAACAAGGAAAAGGCCATTTATATATCCTACCAGCAGCAGCAGAAAAAGGTTTAAGGTGTTCGCACTTGAGAGCTGAGCAGAGGAGTGAACAGAAAGTCTTGGAACGCCTGCTCAAACAAACAGCTAGAGGTCGTATTCAAAGCAGCAAACAGATGGGAGTAAGGAGAGTGACCTCTCAAAAACTGCTGGGTACAACTCGCTGTTCTGGTTACCCATTACCTACCCAGCAGCCCCTCAAAACTAGCAACAACATCAGACTGCGGTTTCACTGGCTGTTTTAAAGTCACCCTTGCTCCATGCGTAGTCATCCAAGAGACTGGCACCTGAAAAGATTTGGACTATTCCACTGGTTCCATCCTATCTAAGAAACAACAGGACATCTGGCACTTTATTAGCTTCTGTAGTCCTAGAAGCCTGTTAGTGAAGATTAACAAAACCTAAACACTAGCAATCTTCACATAGTATGTTGGGGCCAGTGAGATGCATACAGCCAAATTCTTTCAGGCCTGCATCCAGAAGCTGAGAAAAAGCAAAGCTACTCTTTGTCTACATTAATTCAGATGGGACACATTTGAGAGCGCACAGAGCAGCAATGCCAGTCCCACAAACAAAATAGCTCTGCTGCTGTGGTAGTTGGAAGAGGGTATGTATGAGACACAAGCTTATCTCGATCGCTTACCTAGCAACAATTGCCATCCCACTGGCTTTGTCTTCTTTATACAAGCAGGCTGAGAAGCAAGAGCCACTTGCAGGAATAATTGCTAGCGATTATTTATCTGCCATTTCCTAGAAGGTTCCCTTGACGATTGTACTGGAAGAACTAGGGCTTATTTCTGCATTCTGCTAGCCCGGAACTTAGAAATCCATTCCCTCAATCCATACACCAAGCAAAAAAGATACCATTTTATTGTTATTATGATCTACCAGCAATAAACTTTCAGTATTTTTTTTAATATGTTAACAATGATTAGCCACCCAGTTACTTTCACAGAAAATATAAGCAGCATTTTTTCCCCAGAAACTTCTAAATTAAAAAGACCTTCAGGTAATTCTGTAAAACATTTAAGACATCATAAATAAACTTATTCTAAAAGTCACTTTCCAAACAATAAATAAAACTCTTCCTTATTTGAAAGTGCAAACAGGCTGCATTATAAAAAGTACAGAGCAAGACTGCAGAAGTGCTTAATGATTCAGTAGTGACCAAGACACAGTTTCTTGTTTTGGTGCTGTTGGTCATCTAGTGATTTTGTTTTCTGGACCCCATCTAAAGAAAAAAAAATACGTGTGAAACATTAATACAATAGGTAAGCATAGTCTGAATACTCAACACATATAGTCACACTGGAATAACACTGGGTGGGGGAGCTTATCTTCTTCCCCATATAGAGGAACATGCAGTGATCATCGCAAAAGAAACATAACTAAGGAAAAATAGCAACTTAAAATGGTTCAGTGTTGAAAATGCAAGCATACCATCTTGAAGAAAACACCGTTAGAAAAATGAGCCCTGTTAAGTGTTGTCAAACAAAGTACCCCAGGATGAATCTTTCTCCAGCTGGGTCTAAAAACCAGTAGCAGAGAGAGGGACAAACAAGCCCTAACATTTTGCAGTGATTACTAATGCAGTAAACACTACTCTGAGCCCTTCCCTCCCCGCTTTCCCCACAACTCATAAGGAAATCGCTAAAGGAGACTTCCCCACTAATCTACCTCGCTACATGTTAGGAATTAGCTTGTAGTACGCGGCTATTCATGTGCTACAAAAACCACCTTCAGTCTTTTTTATGCTCTTAGCATGGTGCTCAATGCTTTCAGTAACTGCCAACTCCCTGTCTTTACGCTCCATATCTTCATGCTTAAGGCAAAAAAAATATTTAGCTTCTTTTTCCACATTGTTTTCCCCGCTGGATGAGAAACATTTTAAGGACTGGTAGCTGATAGTAGATGCCAATGGTGGGTCCCTTTTGTAGCACAAAACAGTTTCAACATAAGACTCATCTAAACTCTGCTTCCAGAAGATGACAGCTCCCTTCCTACAGGGGTGCCAGTCGACAAGGATTTTGTGGCCTTTGTATTATATATGTGTATATATACACACAAAAGTAAATGTTGATTGAAAAGTAGTGGCATAGATTCTACTTCATAGAAGAAGCACTGAAATGTTCCACAGAACATGTTTAAATGACTTTGAGGAGTCCAATTTCTCTTGAAAAAGAATGGCACTCTTTATAGAACACAATATAAAAAGTCTTTATAGAACAGAATTTAAAACATTATAAAGTAGTTTGAAATGACTATGTGCAAAACAGCATATTGTCGACTTTGATAATAGCATTACTAGATTTTGTAATGTGTGTGCCAATGCCAAGCATCTGTTAAAACAAGCTTGGTTTTGACTTACCATTAGTTCATCTATTCAAAAAAGCTCAGAGAAGTTTTCATAGCAAAATTTAACTAATCGAAATCAGTTTAATTAAGACTAATCAATCCCAGACGGATTCAGGTTTGTTTAAAACTTGATCTCACTTACTGACTTCAGTCATAAAATGAATTAATGAAAAAATACTTACTTTCCCTGGCTGTGGGGTCATGGAATTCAGGGGCATTACTGTGCAATGGATTTAGTTGCCACTGGTAAAAGAAGAAAAAGTTTACTTATTCCAGAAGACAGAAGAAACAGCAAAGGGAGAAAGAAAAGTACCCTACAGTCCTTCATTGTAAGGCATGACTAGGGGTGAAGCGGGAAATCAAGGGCTCCCCCTCCAGCACACACTTGCTTTGAGGATAAAAAGCTATTAAGGGATGCGTGGCCATTTACTCCCCTGAGAAGGGGAAACGAGCCTGCTCAAACCGACAGTGCTGCAGTTTGTCATGGTGAGCACCCTGAGTGCAGGTGCACTTGGCCACCTTCAAAACCCACCACAGCTCTTTCAGGAGCTCTGGAAGGGCCTACAAAATCACAGTGATCTCCCACATCAGCTGCCGTGCCACGACAGGGAGGCTTGGAGAGAACTTGAGAGTGTGAAGAGACCACCTCCAACAACAGCAATGAGTTGGAGGGAAATCTGCAGGGCAATTACAGAAAACAGGCACGCTTGGCCCCACCGTCTGGCATATGGCACAGCACTTCTCCCCAGAGTCGTGACACAGCGCCTCTCGGTTCCACTCGCTTGACTAAACAGCACAAAAAAACACTCCTCTATGCTGGCTGCAGATGACTCCTCACTCCACCCTCTCCCCAACGCTGCCCAGAGTTTTTAGAATATAGTACATTTAGACACTTACTGTAAATTTGCTTACACCCTCAAGTTCACCAAACTTCATATAGGATATGTCTGCTTTCTTTTTTCCAGCATCAACATCTCCTGCATAGATCTGCTTGATACCGGCCCCTTTGATTAAAGGGACGCATTCGTCACATGGACATTTCGTCACAAATATCATGCTTCTCTCATCTGGCTTTATTTCTCGACACCTACAAGCAGTGAGAAAACAGGATTTCAGAGTTTACATCTTGATAGTTTTGAATGGTGACAAACTTGATACCTCACAAGAGCAAGCAAAGAAGTGTTGTGTTATCTACTTTCAGAAGCAACTTACTCCTAATCAAGTGCACAAGTACATAACAGTATCTGGTTTGGTTTTACTATCTGTGAACAAAACACCCATCCCACCTCTCCACACATATCATTGTCAGAAGCCTCAACAATTGCCATGCTTCCATACTTCAGGTTATAGCGTGGTCCTAGCGGGAAGCAGAGGCAGCAGCTTGTACCTGAAGGATAGCTGCCATGCATTGGAGTGAATATCCTTTAAAAAACAAGTTTGGTTAAGAAGTCTGAAGAAACCCCAGGAGCTGACTGGGACCATGCACATCCAAATTTTGCATCATAGGCATAAACAAGACCGTGATTGCAATCCACACTTCATCAGAGTGACATCACACATTTGTCATGGAATTGTTTCTGAACCATCTCATTCTTTTCTGTGGTAAAAATAAACCCATTACCTGAATGTCAAGGCGTTCTGCTCCGCATGTATAATGTATCTGAACTTTCTGATTTCACGATCTTTTTGTTTATCATCCATGTTTGGAAAATCGGCATATTCAGACCCAACAGGAAAGGCATTGTAACCACAGCCCACAAAATACATTGCTCCTGTTCCATCACAGCTTCTCTGCAACAGTAAGCAAAGCATCAAATTTGGAGACATTTAAACCAAGTACTAAGTCAAAGTGGTGTGCAACGTATACCTTCACATGATCGGTTCATGCCAAGTTACAGCAGTTAAAAGAGAACTCAGCTCTTGCTCCATGTCTGTATGGAGCTTTTCCACTAAGCTCCAGTGGAGCCGCACGGGCAAACTGTAGCACTGCAGACAACACACTGCACCAGGCTTTAGAGGCTTTCCTTTTAGCAAGTAATACTGATAGCAGGAACAAAAATTCTGAAGGATTTAGTCCTTAAGCCTTTCTGCAACGTACAGAATTAAAGACAGCTGGAGTTAGTGTCTGCTGTGCCAGAGACCGTGTCTCACCTTTTTCTCAACAGACCCAGTGACCAGTGGGCTGACCAAGTAGCAATTGGCGATTGAAATCAGAACAAGAAGCAAAACAGCAGTAAGCAGCTGATGACTGAAGCGCTAAAAACAAATGAAGAGTATGTTGCAGCTGCATGAAGAATGGGGCTTCCTGGGATTGGTAACATGCACAATCAGAGACATAAAGAACTAAAAATTTTATGTTTGGGTGGGAAAAAGCACAGTAAAAATATTTTTAGAAAAATATCACTTTGATGCAAAAAGAAATGCGCTAAGCCAGTACAGCATTTCAACTGAAACAAAAATCCTCAAGAGATTGTCAGGCTGTGATTGCACTGAGACCTCTCCAAAATAGAGCCACAGAGAGGAACCATGCAGAGTAGGCACATGCTGCCTGGTCAGCAGCTGCGGCAAAACTTTGCAGCCAGGACACCTGGAATAACTGACAACGACTGGGGAAGCAAGCACACGGAAAAGCTAGGCAGAGACACTGTGGTAGTTACTAAACTCATTTATACTTCCCCTTCATCTTGACAGCATAACAATGAACCAGTCATTAACTTAGCTACTAAAAAATGACAGGTGCAAGCTTTCTATAGCACTGTGTGTGTGCATGAAAAACACACGTGTATAAACTTCAAGCAAAGTAACAAGCTCAAAGCAGATACAAGCGTATGAATTGTGAGTGCAAGAAAAAGTAACTTTGTCAGTACTTACTGATTTTTCTTCTGCCCAAATAATAGCTCCAACTCCCGTTTTATGATCCTCTAAAATACACAACATTTTAGCAGTGAATAACAAATAAAGCACTTCTGAGTTACCTATACATTAACATATGACATCCTAGGGTAAGGAATAACATTCGTTGTTGCTTCGTGGACAGAAGATAAGAAATGCAGAAAGATGAAGAGCTTCAAAGTCATATGAGTCTAGTCCAAAAGCTGGGTGTGCTTTTAACTGCAAGGCCAGCCATTCTAATGCTACATACATTTGTTCACAAATGCTAAGAAGCCATCAATACATATATCAGATAAGAAAATGTGTGCCAAGAATATACGTGGACAGGTTCGCTGATGTGAGATGGCAAACTGGTAAAAACCTTCTCATTGTTTACTACTTAATTTAGTGATTTAATTTCTGCCATTCCTTAAGTTTGTGGTTCTGTGGTCTGAATTCCTATCAAAATCAGCTGTATTTTATACCTAATTCAGAGACACAATGTTAAAAAGTGGATTTTGGGGGGTATTTCCTATCACCACCACAGGAAAACTGGAACAGAACTTTCATTATGTGACTTGGAAGATTTTTATGGAACTTGGAAATCTTCCCCAGTAGCTATTGATGAGAGTCTTGACCAGTTAAAACAGAGCATATCAATGAGAAAAAAATGTTTCAGGCTTCCAGTGATTAATATCGTAGAAGAGGCTGTTTCAATTAACCATTTCCATCATCCTTAGTATCACAACCATATATAATCACTCAAAGAGGGTCTTTGCTGCCAAAGATAGGTTTTATGAGGGCTGACTTTATTTATTTTCTGCATATTTATCAGTCACTGATGTATATTAAGCCAGCATAGAAGACATCCTATGATCTTGCTTCCCTTATATCCATCTATATAATAATGTAAAGCTGCTAAATATCTGTGTGTGTGCTGTTATTTATTTTAATTTCATTACAGCACAAGAGTGGAACGAGTTTGCTCAAAAACTAGACCTGAGTCCAGGCTGAACAGTGCAGATGATAAAACTGAATTTTGCTACCCCAAGAATGAGTACTCAGGCTTGGTCATTCTATCTTGCTCTGTACAACAGTAATTGTACAAAAAACTCACAACTGGTTCCATGAAATTTCTGAATTACTTCTAAAAACGCAATCCCCTCTGCAACTTGTGGTGACCAAATTTGCAGAGGGTACCCGGAAAAAAAAACCCAACTAAACCCACAAAACCAACCCAAAAAGGGAAAGGTTCTAAACTATGAAGATTCACCTTTACAAATAACGAAGTCTGAATAAGTCAAAAGGCACATTCAGCACCTGACTTGATAGGTTGGTTTTCTCATTGCGTGTTGGGGGATTAGTTTTGTTTTAAGCTTTTAATAAGTACTATTTATTTGTTTACAAGGGTTTTAAAAAAAGCAAATATCCTATCTAGATCAAAAAACCATCACTAAGGAGTAACACCAAGTTTTAAGTCTTCATATTGTGTTCTCTGGAAGAACTTACCAGTTTACTGCATTGCTACCCAGACAGAACAAAGTAGCTGTGTCAAAAGATAGTCAATAACTACCCTTCCCCCCTGAAAGCCTGTACATCAAAACTCTTAGCATCCTTGCAAAGAAAACCCCCATCAGATATATAATCACTTTCACTAATAAGACTGGAACTAGGAAACTTAATATAACTGTACTTAATGCCCTACTGGAAGGATATTATTTCACTGCTCTTTTCTGAAGAAGCGTACAGAATATGCTTAAAATATTGGCACTTATTTGATAACAGATACATCTTGTGAAACCTCCGTAAAAAAGAGCCTCAGAGCAGCTTGAAGAATTTAAATGTCACTGTATTCTATTTTCAGATAGTGTTGGACATGTTGTCAGGGCAGGCTTTGCTAGCACTGTATGTGAAATACCCACCCTGATATTCTCTTGGAAAGCTCAGTGCTTTCACGCACAATACTATGTACCCCTGTGGAGCTTTTACTGCTACTGCTGCTCCTGTTTCACAGATGTAGGAACAGAATTCAGCAGCTTGCTCAAGGAAGTAGTTGGAAGAAGTAAGACTGAAACCAGGAACTCGCTCTACTCATGAGATCCATTCTTCCTCCACTACTGTAACAACTCACCTGTCCGGTATGCAAGCAGCCTGGCTTGTATCATGCAGTGCCTTGCAATTTCTTGGGGCAAACCCTGATGGTCTGTTTCATTTGTTCGCCGGGATTCAATGTTGTAAAATCCAAAGCATTCAAAGACAGGGACACTGGCAGCCACTGTTGCCAAGACCAAGACAAGATCTTTCATATTTTGCCTAAGGTTGCTGAAGTATGGATTTTCACAGAGGTTCTCCAGTCCCATTGTCATCAGTATTTGCTTGTGCGTTTCCTCATTTGCAATTAGGAATAAACTTTCATACTCTTTTATTCTCTCTTGTCTACATGCAGTATAAAAGTCAGTATTCGAGTTAGGCCGAGATTTTGCTATTTTTTGAATAAAATCAAACTTGGTGGAAGTTTCTTCAACAAATTGCACCATATAGCACACCAAGGGCTGAAGCAACACACACACACGAGCACGACTATTTGACTTCAGTCTTTCTACTGCTTTGGCATCTAGCTTTGCATCATCAGTAGTCATGGGATTGGAAGCCTCGGTCTGCAAGCTGATTTCAGGATCTGCAGGCCAGTAAGAAATCCTGTTCACCCCAGCTGGAAGAGAAGATAATGCAGCAAGAGGAACCATGCAAGCACAGTGGAACATAAACCTCATTTTCAACACATTATTGCCTAACCCTGTTTTTACTCAGGCCGTGAGTGCTGTTTCAGTGGCATCTGGACAACGAAATGCTAGCATATATGAGTATCAAGAGCTTATCAGACTTGATAATCAGACTATAAACAAAAATTGGAATTTCCTAAGTTTTAAGATCTTTGTGGCAGCCTAATTTTGAATCTTACCTACAACAGATACAGTAAGACCACACAAAAAAGTTAGCACTAACAGAAGTTGCTGTTGAGATTAAAAACCAATATTTGCAGAAGGGCTGTACCGGCAGATCCCATTTCAGGAAGTAAATAATCTGACTTGTCTTCATCTCACTTGGGAAGAGGAAAGCCGAAAGTACTCTCTGTGATTTCTGCATAAAAACCACCCTTCCTCTGGTGCCACTGACAAGAAATGGGAGGGCAAGGAAAAATGTAGCAATCTAGGCCTAGTCATCAGGCTCAGGGTTGCTCTGGCAAAGTGCAACAGGTATGTCAGAATCTCAGCAGTGCATCCCAACCAAGAGACAAGCACCACCAATAATAATAATTACACAGAGAAATAGGGTCTCAGTAGCAAACCCTGGTTTCTTGATCATCAGCTCCAGGAAATGCACATTCAATACTGTTTTCAGCCTTGTGGAAAATATCAGTGCAGGCTACGAAAGTTAGGGATTGGCGTTCACAACTGGGACAGTCCAAAGAGAAAACAGGCTTTCTGATGCCACCAATCACAAGCATAACATTTACTCCTGCTCTACTACAGTCATTGCTTACCATTTACAATCATTTTTAAACAAGTCGAACATGGTTTTCTGGAAAAATAAAGATCACAGTTTTTAAGTCTTGATCCATGTTTAATGAGTGCAATCTGGCCAGCATGCAAGTCTGTACTGGAACAATGAAGACCAATAATCTTCATGTTTTTCACCACAACTAGACCACTCTTCTTTACCTACAGAAAAATGCATTACTATTATTATTATTATTTTACTTTTTTTCAACACCAAGTCCATAGAGATGTTACAGCTCTTCCTTGGGTAACAGTAATCAGCCAGGATCAGAGCATATAGCTCTTCAGTACAAATTGTGATATGAATCATTAAACAATCTCTGTTACACTTCCTCTAAGCAGTACTTTTTTTTTTTTTGTTGGTTTCTACATGTGCCTGTTAATATCAGAGTACCATGCCCCTATCAAACTTCAAACAGGGACTTGTCACAAATTCCTGATTTTTCTGGTCATTGCTTTGCCTGTAACAAAACCCAGAAGCAGCATAGAAAATTCTGTCAATTATAGCTGAAAACCCATCTGAATCATCCAGCATCTGGAAAAACTCATGAATTTAATTTCTGTCTTAAGCTTGACCATCCTGGGAGCCAAGAGCTTCTCTAGCTTTATTTCTGTCTCTTCATTTATAGAAATGAATCCTGGTTCTAAAGAATCTTCCATGGAAAAAGCCTGCATACTACAGATGAGCTCTTACATACGGATTCCCACATATTGTGAGGAAACTGGATACAGGCTAGTTTGATGGAGCTGGTGAAACAGATCTCATTATGCAATCCAGCTGCTACCAAAACATTGTTGCCTTAGATCTGTAAATTATTCAGTTTCTTTGCGGTTACAGAAATGAGGCTGTACTAAAGCCCTACATATAAGCCAAGTGCCATTCCTAACTAAATTACTAAATTTGAAACTGTTTTTGAAGTCTGTATGGTGCTGCTCATCTATCCCTCTTTCTAATCTAGTCTGGGACATACCAAGCTCTGAAAATTAGGCCTAATTGTCACTCAAATTATTTTCCTATCTTTTCTTGTCCCGGCTGATACATGTGCTATGGATCTTAGCACGAGTATGCTCTGCACAAGGTAGTAATCATTATAAAGAGTAGAATAAGAACTCTGATCGCAAAAGGAAATGCCCTGTTCCAGGACACTCTGAAAATGCTCCTCTACTTTGAAGTGTAACTGGCAGCTATTTAGAAGACCCATTCTCAAGGACGGTTTCTTTTCATTGTCACTAAGGTAGTTATCTACAAGTTCTCTATCAGCAAACGTTTCAAGTAGTTCTGTGCACCTCCACTGTATAAGAGAACTCTTCTACAATCATGAACATTGACATTTTAAAGAATATCTCTACATCATCAACCACACTGATTTTAAAGTTATAATTAGTATATACTAAGAAGTGCACACTGTACACCGTGCCTCCTTTGTTATGCTCTTCAAAATACCCACCAGCATTTTTTACTGTCGCGGATATACCTTGCCTTTTTAAGTTTTTCAGAAATAGCGTGCTATTTAACCATTTTGCTATTTTTCTCCCACCAGTGGATTTTTTCCTACTTCTAAGAAATATCTGAAAAACGTTTATCAGACTTTTCTGCACCCCCCTCACCCCCCCTCCCCTGGCCTCGGACTATCTGTCAGGTAGAGCAGTTAGGTTAAATTCACTGCAGGACCTATTAGCATCTGTTCAGAAAGACCAATTAATGGTAAACGTAGACATTTTACCTGTGATTTTTTCTGTTGCTCAGCCGAGGGAAAGATTGACCTTAGAAAGTCTTGGCATTTGACCTGTCATTAGAAGAGAAAAAAAGAAATATTTATTCCTTAGTATTTATAAAGAAACACCACATTGTCAAACAATATTTTCCAAGTCTTCTACACCACAGCTGCTACAGAAGCTGGTTCATCGACCACTTCTGCTATTAGAGCAGCTAAATCCACACTGTCCCCTTCAGGGCAGTAGTTGTCAACTCAGAACTCTCACATCTGGAAGCAGAGAGAAAGTGGTGAAACTTTCACTGAAATTCAGTGAGTTAATTTTACTCAGAGGCGAAGAGCAGAAATCACAGATCAGATCCCACATCACGTGCTCAAGTGATTCACAGATGCTTACAGAAATTTGAGACACAGCTTGTGATTCCGCTTCAGGCTCACCACAGAAGAGAGTAAAAGTATCTAGGCACACATCATGATCTTACACTGACACCTGCAGCAAGAGTGGATAAGCCATTGTGAAACCTTCTAGTGACATCAGTTCTGGAGAAACCTGCTTCTGGATTTTTACAGTTTGCTTAAATTTTGGTTAGCTTTTCACAAAAATTTAAACCTATTGTTCAGGCTGTCACTTCTGACTAAATAACCGAAGAGAGAGCGAAGAATCCCTTCTCAGACCACCACCTTGTGCTGTGTTGTGCTTCTACTCAAAATCTGGACGTTGTCCTGTGAGGGCCAGCGCTCAGCATTACTGAGTGTCCCACAGATGAAAAAGGAGGAAGTACTGCATTGCTCACTAATGCTTGCACAATTCCAGATGTAAAGCTGTCTTGCCTCACACTTGGCAAGGCGTTAATTAAGTCTTCGAAAAAGCTCCAGTCCCTATTCCAGGGGTGTTTACAGAGAGCTGTAATGAACACATATTCCTCTGAAGGTCTCACGTGTGCTGTCTGACAATAGTATTATTTCTGTTTTTTATCCCTTCCCGCAAATGTTAAAGTTTTTGCAAAGGAGGAAAAGGCAGAAGCAAGAATAGAATAGAGAAAAACATTTCTTTAAGTAGTTCCAGGAGTTTGGAAGAGATATAATCGGATACTAAGATTGCTTCGGTGGGGGAGAGGGTTAGTTTAATGACACGTCTGTGAATCCAAACAGTTAGGACAGCACATAAACATAGGCAATCCATGACTGGAATACCATTTTCAGACAGTATTTTAGCATCTTTTTTCACACAGAAGTGAGAGCATAATTCCTAGGGATTTTGGAAAGCAACTATAGACCTCTCAGCGGCACCATCTGATGCCACACTGTCCACTACTCCTTAGGCTGCCCAGCTATGCTACCTTACTGTGCCCGATCAGACACATGTGCTAGAAATGTACATGGCAAGTAGCACACGTGACGATTTGTTATCACTTGTACTAAAAACAAACTGTAAAAGTAAGTCTACAAGCCACATCTAAACAAGTAGAATTTGGTTTTTTTAAATGGGCATTTGAATTTGTTCTCATTGCAGCCCCTGTTCACTCCTGTTGTAGCACACACATGTACAGTTCCCAAATGGCAAGCTAAAATAAACAGTGCAATTGATACCAACTCACGTGTATACCATCTTGTTTTCTAAAATGGATTACTATTTGGCATATAGAGTAGATCTAAAACACAATACACCAGAAACAAGTGTGAATTACCGTCTGTTTTCTTGGACCTAGTCTGAGTGTGACCTGTCGAACACAGGGGAAACAAACTGAAAAAATTTACCGGTTCACAACGCTGTTGTGAATTGACATGAATGCATAATGAGAAGCAGGAGAATATTATGATGAGAAAGGAGAGACCTGTGGTCACAGTTATTGTATCTATGCATCCGCATCTTTACTCACTTACGTAGTTAAACGTTCCCTTAAGTTCAACAGAGTGAAGAGATTAAAGTGGCCTGGAAAAAAGGTAGAAGACGTCTTACAGAATTTAAAGCAACTACAGAAGATTGAGGAAGAAAAGGAATCAGGCTCTTTGCTACCGAGAGCAAAACCGTATACGAAAGGAGTGCTCTTTTCAGGTGCATCAAGTCCTCACAGCTTCCCTACTTCACACAAAGGTACAATTTTATTCCTCCTGGTCAGGGATCTTGCTCCAGTGAGGCAAAGCATGCTCCAGGGAAAGCACGCTGTGAAGGCCAGTGTTGAAAACCCTGATGCTCCTGCACCTGGAAAGAAAAAGGAGCAGGGCACTGCCCATCCGGACATGGCTCAGATACAGGATTATGGCACGGTTGCAACATAGGAGTCCCTAGTTCAAAGTCTGAAAGGCTTGTAAAAAGTCATCTTCCAAGTATGAAACCAAGACTGGGCTCTGACAGCACCAAGGAGGAGGAAATCCGTGACGTCACTCTCCTGCCTGGGAAAAGGAAACTAGAAACTATTTTCAGAGTTCATCTTCTCGGAAGCAGGATTTTCATAAAACTAGGATGAAACAAAACCCATTTACCCATCAAGGAGATCTGACAGCCCTGTCATGGTCCTCGGTCTGAGAGCTACATATACAGCCCACGGGGGATCTGTATGGACACACCACTCCCCTGGGACTGCAGCAACGGGATAGATAAAACCTATCAAAATCCGCTTCGTCTGGGCATCCCCAGCCTTATGAGAAAGTTGCTCTCTACTAAATTCGTACGTGGGCCCTGCTATGGGGGTTAGTAAGGACACCCCTCAGAAGGCAAGCATTTTTATGCACATTGCATTTTATACACGTTAAATACGCATGGTATGGAACTGGAAAAAGAACTCATTTTGACGGGGGGGGGGGGGAAGGAAAAAAGCAACCCTTTTTTATAAAAAAC